AGGGAAGAGGGAGGTAGAGGCGAGGTGCGACAGGTAATGTCTATACGTCATGAAAAAGGGGTCAATCAAGAGGACGATGTCTATACGCATGGAAGAAGAAACAGGGGTCAATCACGAGTACGATGAACACAATGTAGCAAAAACAAGGGAAGAAGAGAGATATCGCAGTAAGGAGAGGGACCACGGGGAAGAGAGGAAAGGAGAGAGAGTGGGCACAAGGGGTAGGAACAGGAGAAAAGGGAGGGAGGATGAAACAAGAGAGAATGAAGACAGTAGAAACAGGAGGAAAAGGAGATGAGAAACAAGCAAGAATGGAGACACAAGAAACAGGAGGAAAGGGGGGAGAAGAGATGGGAAACAGGAGGAAACGTGGCAGAAGAGATGGAAAACAGGAGGAAAAGGGTGAGAAGAGATGGGAAACAGGAGGAAAGGGGGAGAAGAGATGGGAAACAGGAGGAAAGGTGGGAGAAGAGATGAGGAACAGGAGGGAAGGGGGGAGAAGAGATGGGAAACAGGAGGGAAGGGGGGGAGAAGAGATGGGAAACAGGAGGAAAGGGGGGAGAAAAGATGGGAAACAGGAGGAAGGGGGGAGAAGAGATGGGAAACAGGAGGAAAGGGGGGAGAAGAGATGAGAGAGACAGGAAACCGAAAGAAACGCCACTACTCGAACCACAGCACGACGATCTAGACTTGCTTACGCTTTTAACCTCTTCCCCACTGCTCGTCCCTCCCTCCAAATATCTCCACGACTCAGCATATACTACACCCTTAACCTCCTTCCCTCTCCTCCTCACTCCCACCAAATAGCCCCATTTGGCCTACACACCCGCATTCTTCTAAAGCCTTCTATGAGTTCCTCACGACTCAGACCTGTAAAAGAAATCAGGCTATCCATTGCAGAATAAATTCGACAGCGATTTAACAACCATTCATTAGGCTATCACGGATATCAAGGCCAATACATAGAAAGCAGAATTTCGGAAAGCACTAACTCTCTCTCTCTCTCTCTCCTGCCGTGTGTTCGCTAACCAAGTTCGATCGAGCATTGATACACAAAAGAACTCGAGAGACTTCTTTACAATTTGTAGCTCCTCTCTCTCTCTCTCTCTCTTTCTCTCTCTCTCTCACTCACTCACGCACCCAGTGTTAGTGATAAAGATACAGAAGGTCAACCCGACTGATAAGACACTTCAGTTGGGTGAAGAAAGGAGGGGCAGGTTGGCACCGCGCGGAACATAATTCAGCAAGAACGCAATGGGAAGAACGGGAAGCGGGGATCGGTGAGTGAGTGCGAACGAAAGAACGGAAAAAAAAAAAAGAAAAAAAAAAAGAAAAAGAAAAGAAAAAGAAAAAAGAAAAGAACAAGAAAAGAGAAAAGAACGAGAAACAAGAAAAAGAGAAATGACGTCAACGCGATGTCCTCATGTCTTCAGCAATTTGCCCAGTGTTCGCTCCCGATGCAGCGCCATGATAAGCATCTCTGTCTCCTCCCGTCACGCCCGACGACGCCTGCAAGTGGCTTAACAAGTCCTTGGCCTTCCGTCTTGCCCGTGCTGTACCGGAGAGCAGCAAGTTACTGAGCGGTTGGCCCGCTCCCAACTTGAGCACCTCCTCCTTGTGCACCGCGTTGTTCAAGCACAGAGCGAGCAGAATCGCCGCTGCATTCTCCTTATTTCTTGGCGTTCCATCCTTAATCAGATCGACCAAGATGGGAACCGCCGCCGCCTGACCTACAGCCTCCCTACCTTCCGGCGCCGTAACCAGCACCGACAGAATTGCCAAAGCCTCGTCAACAAGCCCCATCGTTCGATCCGTTAGCAATTCCATGAGCGGAGGAATAATTCCTGCCCTCACAGCTCTCGTCTTATTCACAGGAGCTACTGTCAAATTGAAAAGAGCCGTTGCCGCATCTCGTTTCCCGCGCGTGCCTCCCTCTTGAAGCAGCCCGACGAGCGCGGGAATGGCTCCGGCCGCGCCAATCGGTGCCTTGTTGTCGGAGACAGCGGAGAGAGAGAACAGAGTAGCGGCGGCGTTTTCCCGCGCTTCCATCGTCCCCGATTTCAGCACTTCCACGATCGGCTGCACCGCTCCCGCCGACATGATCGCGCCCTTGTTACTCTCGTTGATTGATAGATTCAAAAGCGCGGTAACGGCGTGTTCCCGCGTTTTCGGGTCAGCGGAACTTAGCAGGTGCACAAGGATCGGAATAGCGCCCGCCTGCGCAATACACACGCGGTTTTCCATGCTCCTCTTCGCCAGAAGGCGCAGTTCTCCGGTCGCATTGCGCTGCTCTTCGCCCGTGCCATGGCGCAATTTGACGAGCAAACCGTCAACAAGCGTTCGATCTCCGGTGGCCTCACCCCCGTCGCACGCCCCGCGGCCTTGATTACCCTTCTTCTGGGGGAACTCGACCCCATTCTCCTCGCACCACGCTATGATCAGGCCCTTCAACACGTAATTAGGGATCAACGTGAAGTGACTGAGCGGCTGCTGAGTCTTGGGACAGGTACGGTGCCCGGAGTCGATCCAGCGTTGGATGCACGCGCGGTCAAACGTTTGACCGGTGGAAATAATGACGGGATCGCTCATCAGCTCCAACGAAATCGGGCATCGGAAGTCGTCAGGCGGAACCGGAGGGAGAGTCTTGTGAGACGAAAGCCCAGGGCAGGTCGATGCGGAAGACGAACACCCCACGAGATCGGAGGAGTCGGGCTCCATACCGGTCGAACACATGCTCATCCTCTGCAACAACGCTCTCATCAACTTCAACTCCGCATCTTCGAGGTCCGCGGCTCCTCCCCCTCCTCCACCGCCGCCGCCGCCCGCACCCGCGCCGCCGTTGACGACCCCCCCCAGGGTGGAATACCCGCCGCCGCCCCCTCCTCCGGGGGCAGCGGCACCGGCTGATGCAAGGGAATTCGTAGCGCCGCTCGTACCTGTGCTCATGCTGCATCCGCTAGTGTTTCCCGCCAAACCCCCGCCGAGCACAGGCGGCATGCTCCTGATTGCTCCTCCCCCTCCTCCTCCCACGGCACCACCACCTCCTCCTCCCCCTCCTGCTGCGGATACTGCGGCTGCGGCGGCGGCGGCTTCCCCTCTTCTCTCCAACGCCTTCATCTCTGCTTGAATCGCCGATCGTGTGTTCAATTCCAGTCCGCGCGCCAAGTCCGTGAGCCGCGACCCGTCCCACGTGCCGCCCTTCCTGACGCCCTCCATCGCGTTCCTCAACTCCGAGAACAAACTGCTATCTTTCAGATCCACCACACTCTTGGCTCTTCTCAGCTGCTCTCTCACCAGTTCCACCTGCTCCTTCGTCTCGTCGGAAATTTCTAGTATGTTCAGAGGGACATCGTACAGGTGACCACATATCTCCGCCGTTAGGTCATGGAACCTTATCAGCATGGCTTCGCTGTTGAGCACCATGAACATGCGGCTCCCGTCTCGACACTCTTCCAACAGGGTCTTGGCTTTGCGGAAAGAGATCTCGAGCGCCTTGAAGGACGCCGTGGCGGCCGGAGGCAGAGGGGACCTCAGATCACGCAGCTCTTCCAGGAAAGGAACGATGTTCTTTACACGACGAGACAAGGTCACGCAGAACTTCTTGTGGCTCTTTGTCGACTCCGCGATCTTGGAAACGTTTTTGGCCAGCTGGATGAGCTGCTTGACAAGCAGCCAAGAAGGCTCCCGCTCGGCAGAACCGACGGGAACAGCGGCAGGAGTGGCGGTAATCGGCACGCTAAGGGAGGAGGAGGAGGAGGAGGAAGAAGAAGAAGGGCAAGAGGAGGAGAAATAGAAAGAAGCGTGAGAGAGGGAAGAAAAGAACGGCGAGGAGGAGGAGGAGGACGACGAGAAGGAAGGAGAAGGAGAAGAGGAGGAAGACAAGAACATGGGGGAGGGAGCGGAGGAAGAAGAAACGCAGGCGAAAGGAGGCGGAGGAGGCGGCATACTCATCGTGCTGAATGAAGTCGGACGATGGACAAGAGCATGAGGAGGAAGCGGAGGAGGAGAGGTGGAAGGAGGAGGAGGAGGAGGAGGAGCGAAAACAGGAATCGTACTCGAGCTGGACCCACTTCCTTGCGCACTTCCCGCTTCCATATCGGCCCCCAAAGATGGCGCGCAGTCCCTTGGTTCGATAGATTTGACCCTTACCTCACACAATAAAACCCCCCTTCCCGCACACAAACCCTCGACTCCCGCCAAACCAACACGACTCGACGCTCCAGACACTTCACTACACTTGCTGGATACTATTTCATTCAACTAACCCTGTGCTTACTGTTACGCTCCTATATCCCTGATGTCAACACATCGCGAAATCCAATCAAACTGGTTCCAGCCCTCTCCTTCCTTCCTGATTGCTCAATGGAAACCTATCGTACAAATCAGCCCTGCCATAAACTGACAAACACAACTTCCCACATTACTCTCTCTCTCTCTCTCTCTCTGTGGCAAACAACACACCCTCTTGATTACCAGGGGCACTGGTTCCGGTAAGGACGCCAATAAAAATGTGGCGAACCACCGCATTAACGAGTACAACTACAATAAATACCTTGCGCAAAGGGAGATCTACAACTGTTGTACATGCTCTCTCTCTCTCTCTCTCTCTCTCTCAGGCACGCAAGTTTCCTGATGTCACCCTAAAGGATTGTCCTGAGAAGAACTATGAAATTGCGTCCTCGACTGTCAGGGTTCGAGTGTCAGGTACCTGTAACCCGACAGCACCGAACACTCGTTGCCAGCTGGATAAAGCCACCACGTACACATGGGCAATCCTCTATTAAATGTTGACGTCACTTTCTTCCTAATTCATATGGTTTACTGTATCATCCTACTAGACAGCGCTCGTGTGTCCACCACAAAGACGTCATGTAATGACACGCACGATCGCAACTGCCCTCCTATTTTTCCCTCCAGCGATTAAAACGAACGACCAGCCTACTAGCAGAACTAGCATGCGTCTATGCGATAGTCAGCGGAACAAATACAATACATATAGTCAACAATAGCCGTTAGCAGTCGTCCTCGCCGGGTTCAGAGCGCGAAGCACAACGATTACTGAACACCAATTAACCACTCAAAATCATCACACCCGCGAAATGCCAGTTGTGAGCTAGATCATCTCTCTCTCTCTCTCTCTCTCTCTCTCTCTCTCTCTCTCTCTCTCTCTCTCTCTCTCTTTTGCGTGCGGATGTATAAAATCGGTCCTAGAAAGATCATACCTCCTCTCTTCCCTAATCTTGCACGTCTCCTGTTCACCGTTTCACTCCGGAGGCTCCGCTAGCCATTCGCTCTATCTACAATATAGAGTATTCTTCTTTCGTCTCTATTGCGCGACTTTCCTTCCCTCGTTCAATCCCTACCTCCCCTCCGCATCTTTTCTTCTCCTCTTTCCCGCTTGTTTACAGCCTTCTGCGTGCTTACTCACACATTGCTATCATAACGCACCTGACCGCTTTCACGTCCCGCGTTCGGTCAAAGGAAGTTCACTTTCTGTCAGCGTCAAAAATATGCCTTATCCTATCCTTCCCTCGACAGCCCGGACCCTACACTCTACATGACGCCTACCGACATCTTTCATCCTGACCCACATACGCCTTCTCTTCCTTCATTCTCCTACCTTCTTGACTATCTGTCCATTTCCCTACCTACCTATTTATCCTTCGCTCCTCTCCTTTGCTCCTCTCGTGTGCACACAGATACACACTACCCACTCCCCGTCAACCACTCCCGATCCCCGCCTCCGAATCCAAACGATTAACAAGTTCACCCGCGTTTGAAGCCGATGATGAATCAATCCGGCGGTAAAAATTTGGCAAACACGCGGCTGGGCGCCAATTAGACAACAACAAGAACGGAAAAACGAAAATCCAGCGCGGTTCAGGATCAGAACATTGAAAAGTGATGGAAACCCCCGCTGCCCACTGTGCGATCGACTGCCGTGTGTGTGTGTGCCACTATGCAAGCGAGATATTCCCGCCAACAACAGGGCGAAAAGAACCTCGCGCGCCGCCCGAGACACAGCCAGAACGACGAATTATTGCTAATCACGATTGAAGCTACCTCAGTGCCTCCACTTGAAGAAGCGTGCGTAAGTACTACGGACTACGGATGGCGCCAACCCCCGCCGGGCGCTTTGAAAACAAAAGAGAAAACCGTAAGCGAAAACTCAAACCCCGCCTAAAGGAAATGAAGGAAAAGCGCGATTGATGCTCTCTTGCGATGGGCGCGAGAAACGAAACGAAACGAAACGAAATGCCGCGCGCGCGTTTGCTGGGACGCAGAGCATTGGCTATGGTTGTTGGAAGCCGGGCAGAAACCCCACCCCTCACGAGTACGACAATGTTGAAGGAAAAATGTGGCGGTGAATATGAATGTGAATGTGAATGGGAAGGAAAAATGAATGCATGGGTATTATGCTATTTTATTTTATTCTATTTTATTTAAATTGTTAATTAATTATTATTACCTTGAGTTGTGCAGTGTAGGACAGGACCGATGATCGGTTCTCATGCGCACACCGACCGACGACTTCACCCCGCTACCGGTCGACCGTTCGATATCTCTAGGTTGGATTCTCAACGTTGATTGATTAGCCCTACTATTGCACTGTACAGTACCCCTCCGTCCATCTCCGTCAGTCAGGCCGCACTTGCGCGGGTGATTAAATTAAATCAAATGGAACGTGGGCCTGAATGTGGCCAGATGCGTCCATTGATTGATTGATTGATACTACTCGTCCGCCCAGGTCCCCTCGGACCTGACGAGGGTAGGGTCGGGTCGGAGCACACCTCTTGCATGTGCCTCGCAAGAGAGTCGCTGTCTGTGAACGGCGCGCTGACGCCGACGGTAGGACTACCGCCAATGCATCCGCCCGCGTTCAAGGCCGCATTCGGTCAAATGTGGCGTAGTCACCTGGGGTCTTCCTGAAATGATGGATGCATCGCACGGCGAAGCCACCGAGAATTCACTCGAGGAAGGGGTAGGGTGAGTGGTCCTTCGGGGCATCCGTTAAAATTGGAATTGGGACGATACAGAGAAAGAAGATTATTAGGATGGCCCCTGCTGCGCTTTCAAAGATGACACGCATAAATAAATCGAGAAATCGAGAAATAGGGCCTCGCCACACCACTCTCGAAATGTGGAAAAGACAAAAATGTGGCGGGCGCATCTGGCCTCGTTCTAGCAGGAAGTTCATTCTCATTTTGCACATTTCGAGAGTGGTGTGGCGATGCCCATAGTCGAGGGTGAGTGTCGAACGATGTGCCGTTCAGATGAAGCAGATTGCGCATTCCACGAAGCGCACACGTACTCACCAATCACCGACCACATGCGGCAAGACGGACTCGCACGACCACTTCTTCTTCATGTATCTGGTAAGCTCTTTCGCCTCTATTCAGTTGAAAACATCCCCGAGGACTACCCGCTCGCAAACCACGCAAGGCGTGGAGGCACGCCGAGGCATGCAGTGAGAGCGAACGACAGAAACCCGATGGCCGATCCGAGGCCGGAGCTGTCAGACCCAGTTTTACATTACACACCGTTAGCTAGCCTGGTCACAGACGCCTGAACACCTCCCAAACACGGACTTCGGCTCCGAACCTGTTTGTATTGTCTACCGCGTGGGCCCCGAACCTGTTTGTATTGTCTACCGCGTGGGCCCGGGGAACGCAGCCCTAAGGTAGCCAAATCAATGAGACTAAGAGCTAACACAAGAAAGAGAGAGAGAGAGAGAGAGAGAGAGAGAGAGAGAGAGACAAAGAGAGAGAGAGAGGCTGAATGGCAAAATTGAAATATGGGTCAAATTGCGGCCCCAATCTATTTCGCAGTTGGAATGATTTTTTTTTATTTATTTAGCGTTTTTCCTGGAAAGATCACAACAAAATTTACGAGCACTCCAATTTTCAGGTTTTTTTACGCATTCTTTTGAGCGCGAAAACTCACTGAATTTGGAGTACTTTTTTAGTTGGCCCAGGCATGGTTGAGTGGCAAAAATGGAAAATGTGCTCAATCGGCGTGACGATTATTTCGCAGTCTAAATGATTTTTTGTAAATGTTCTATTATTATTTCTGGAAATAACACGCCCTCATCTATGGATTCTCAAAATTTCAGATTTTTTTGCATGTTCGTCTAAGCACAGAAAATCGCTAAAGTTGCCTCTTGCAAAATGTTTGTTTCGTTGTGTCTGACCTCCCTGTTTTGAGAAGACGGGGCTCAACGCCTGGGCTTGAGGGCCCTTTTGCAGTTCACATGCCCTCACTTCTTTTTGGGGCTTGCTGCTACCCAAGGACCGGTCCAATGCCCCCCACTTCTTTTTGGGGTCCACTTCTACCCGAGGACCGGTCCTTCGTTTTTCCAAAAGTCTCGGTTCTACCAGAGCTAGCTGCAGGTAGTCCGCAATTTTGGCAAGGACCGGTCCCCCAAATTTTTTTGCCCCCTAAGAACCCACTTTGCGTCCTGGTCGCCCGCCGCCAAAAATGCGACACCTTGACACAGACGAGGAAGCCCATTATACCGCAGCCTAAGGGTTGCGAACTACTTGACTATTTTGTGAGTTCCCCCCCCACCTTGCACACCATGTGGCAAGAAAGGAGGATGATCTGCATTGGGGAGGGGCCCTCACCCCCCTACACCCCTTCCCCCCCTCGACACCATATGCCAAAACAAGATAATGATTTACATGGGGGAAGGAGGGCTTCGCCCCTTGATATGCAAAAAAAACGATGATCTGTGTCCGCAGCCTTAGTATAGTGGCCTTCAGTGTTTGTGTCAAGGTGTCGCATTTTCTGCGGCGGGCGACCAGGATGCAAGTGGGTTCTTAGGGGGCAAACGTTTTTGAAGGATCGGTCCTTGGTGATAATGCCAACGACCTACAGCTAGCTCTCATAAAACGGGGATTGTCTGCCTCGTGCGCGTGGGGAACGCAGCCCTAAGGTAGCCAAAGCAATGAGACCTAGAGCACGCACAAGAGAGAGAGAGAGAGAGAGAGAGAGAGAGAGAGAGAGAGAGAGAGAGAGAGAGAGAGAGAGAGAGAGAGGAGTTTTGTTTCATTTGTTGATATGAGTTAGAGAGAGACAGAGAGTCAGAGAGAAAGAAAGAGAGATAAAGAGTTTTGCTTCATTTATTGTTACGAGTGAGAGAGAGAGAGAGAGTGAGAGAGAAAGAAAGAGAGATAGAGAGAAAGGGAAGGGGGGGGGCCGAACAGAGAGAGAGAGAGAGAAGGAGAGTTTTGTTCTATTTTTGTAAGTGAGTAAGAGAGAAAGACAGAGAGTGAGAGAGAGAAAGAAAAAAAGATAGAGAGAGAGGGAGGGGGGGAGGCTACCAGAGAGAGAGAGAAAGAGAGAGAGAGGTTGAATGCCAAATTTAAAATATGGGTCAAATTTCGGTCGCGATCTATTTCACGGTTTGAATGATTTTATTTTTTTTTTTAAACATTTTTCTTGGAAATATCACAACAAAATCTACAAGTACTCTAATTTTCAGGTTTTTTCATGCATTCTTCTGAGCGCGAAAACTCACTGAATTTGGAGTACTTTTTCAGTTGGCCCACACATGGCTGAGTAACAAAAATGAAAAATGTGCCGAATCGGCGTGACAATTCTTTCACGGTCTAAATGATTTTTTGAAAATGTTCTAATATTTTTTCTGGAAAGAACACGACCTCATCTATGGATTTTCAAAATTTCAGATTTTCTACGGGTTCCTCCGACTAAAAAAAATCGCCAAAGTGGCCTCTTACAAAACGTTTGTTTCGTTGCGTCTAACCTTTCTATTTTAAGACGATGAGCCGCAACACCTGGGTTTGAAGACCCTTTTGCAGTTCACATACCCTCATTTCATTTTGGGATCCGCTTTCATCCGAGGACCAGTCCAGCGCCCCCCACTTTTTTTTGGGATCTGCTTCCACCCAAGGACCGGTCCTTCCTTTTTCTAAAACTCCCAGCTCTACCAGAGTTAGTTGTAGGTAATCCGCAATTTCTCCAACCTTAGGGCTGCGAAACTGTCTACCGCATGGGCGCGGAAAACGCAACCCTCAGGTAGCTAAAGAAATGAGACGAAGAGTGCGTACAAGAGAGAGAGAGAGAGAGAGAGAGAGAGAGAGAGAGAGAGAGAGAGAGAGAGAGAGGAAAAAAAAAAAAAAAAAAACAGAGACTGAGAAAAAAAAAGTTTTGTTCCATTTATTAATATGAGTGAGAGAGAGGTAGAAAGAGAAATAGAGAGAGGGAGGGGGGGGAGCTACCACAAAGAGAGAAAGAAAGAGAGAGAGAGAGAGAGAGAGAGAGAGAGAGAGAGAGAGAGAGAGAGAGAGGGAAAGAAAGACAGAGAGAAAGAGAGAGAAAAAAAGACAGAGAGAGAGAAAGAGAGAGAAAGGTTGAATGGCAAAATTGAAATATGGGTCAAATTGTGGTCACAATGTATTTCACAGTTAGAATGATTTTTTATTTTTTTTTTAGGATTTTTTTTTTAAAGATCACAACAGAATATACGAGTACTCTAATTTTCAGGTTTTTTCACGCATTCGTCTTAGCGTGAATACTCCTTGAATTTTGAGTACTTTTTCAGTTGATCCATACATGGCTGAGTCTCAGAAATGGAAAGTGTGTTGAATTGATGCGATGATTATTTCACGGTCTAAATGAGTTTTTAAAAATGTTTGATTTTTTTTTTAAATGAACACGACCTCGTCTTTGGATTCTCAAAATTTCAGATTTTTCTGCAGATTCCTCCA